GTAGTAGTAGTTTAGTAGTAGTAGTTTAGTAGTAGTAGTAGTAGTAGTAGTAGTAGTAGTAGTAGTAGTAGTAGTAGTAGTAGTAGTAGTAGTAGTAGTAGTAGTAGTAGTAGTAGTAGTCTAGTAGTAGTAGTAGTAGTAGTAGTAGTAGTAGTAGTAGTAGTAGTAGTAGTAGTAGTAGTAGTAGTAGTAGTAGTAGTAGTAGTAGTAGTAGTTAGTAGTAGTAGTAGTAGTAGTAGTAGTAGTAGTAGTAGTAGTAGTAGTAGTAGTAGTAGTCGTAGTAGTAGTAGTAGTCGTAGTAGTAGTAGTAGTAGTAGTAGTAGTAGTAGTAGTAGTAGTAGTAGTAGTAGTAGTAGTAGTAGTAGTAGTCGTAGTCGTAGTCGTAGTCGTAGTAGTAGTAGTAGTAGTAGTAGTAGTAGTAGTAGTAGTAGTAGTAGGAGTATCAGTTATAGTATCAGTTATATTAGTAGTAGTCGTAGTGGTAGTAGTAGCAGAGGAGCAGAGCAGCATTCGCAGTATAAGGTCTTGACAGGGTGATAGTAGTAACAAGAGCAGTAGGAGGAGGAACAGGGGTTCCATAATGTTTGGCCAACGAAGCGTGCAAAGGTCCCTGGCGCTCGAACCTCGACTCTTGATCTTCGGCCCTCGTCGACCAACGCTGACATCCAACGTCTTGCAACAAACATGACGGATTTGTTTGTTGTGTCAGCCGAGGACTACACGGGCGGGGCCAACCGTCGCGCCCCCATCGAGGCGAACGTGTACGATACTGGCGCCCGAAGAAACAACAACGTAAACATGTATCTTGGGAGATTCGCACAGGTTTTTTGGATCGGTTGGCGCCGCGCTTGGCGCGTCACGCGCATCAGTGGACGGGGGCTTCCAGCGCCGACCCAAGACATCTGCGCCGACCTCCCGCAGTTTCGATGTTTATACTGATGTTTCTCATTTTAGGCGCCCCTCGGGAGGCGGATCTGCAGTACCACCACGAGATGGCCTACGTCAGCACATCGTGTCAGTGGGTGGCGTTCGGCGCGATTGAGGCCTGGAGCGATGCCTCCCTCAAGATCCCGGCGTATCGTTCATCTTGCACGGGGCGTTTTCGCCCAGTTTTGGTCCCGAGGTCCCCTATCTGGATCCATGTGGCTCGATATTGTAAGTTTTCGCTACGTCGACTATCATGGTCTGGCGGCTCGGGTAGTTTTTTCAATTTCTCGGCGTATACGAAGCGTTCAAGGGCCACGCGGCGTCAGCGACACGACTCCTGGGTCTTGGGCTGGCAGGGCCGTGCGGCCACGGCCGAACGCCACTTGGCGGAGCGGAGGTGGTGGAGGAGGAGGAGGAGGAGGTAGAGGAGGAGGAAGAGGAGGAGGAGTAGGAGGAGGAGGAGGAGGAGGAGGAGGAGGAAGAGGAGGAGGAGGAGGAGGAGGAGGAGGAGGAGGAGGAGGAGGGGGAGGGGGAGGAGGAGGAGGAGGAGGTGGAGGGAGGAGGAGGAGGAGGAGGGGGAGGGGGAGGAGGAGGGGGACATGGAGGACGTGGAGGACGAGGAGGAGGAGGAGGACGAGGACGAGGAGTAGGAGGAGAGGAGGGAAGGACGAGGGTGAGGGGGGTCTTGGGACAAGGTGTCTCCCGGGGGCGGGCCGCTCGACGAGCCGAGCAGTCGGAGGTCCTGGGGGCATGCGCCTCGCTCCCGCGGAGACCGCCTTGCGCCCCCAGGCGACAACGGGCGTGACGGGAGGGTGGAGGAGCATGCCGAGCTCGTTGAGGATATATCGCAGGCCTAGAGGTTGACACCAACACCAATATCAGAGGTGTGCCTCCATCGAGGGAAGAAGATCCCGATCTCGGTGATGGTTGTAATATTCTGGCTTCCAAGGGTGACCAGAATATTGCCACAAACACCGAAATCTAGGATCATCTTCTCCTTGTAGAGGCAACCTCCTGTGTCGGTGTTGATGCCAATTTCTAGGCCTCCAAGGATAGCTTCGAGAAGTGGCAGGAGGCATCTTCTTGATCCCCTTGCGATACCGGGCGTGACCTTGGTTGGGGTGGGGGAGGGGGCTGGGCACGGCACGATTTGCGCCGGCGCCGTCTGGGAGTGCTCGGGACTGGCCGATTCCCACACGGCGCCGGCGCGATTCGTGACGTGACCCGGGGGGGGACGGGGGAGGGGCGGGGCCGGTCACGGGCGTTACCGCGAATAGCTAAACATGATCGACCCACGAACCCAGAAAGGGATGTAAAAATGAGAAGCATGGCATCATTTCCAGGACGTCAAACTTGGGCCACGGGCACTGACAGTGCTCAATGAACTATCGTGATGTCCCGTGCCACGGGCTGTGCTGTACTGCGCCGTGCCGTGCTGCGCTGAGTTCAACGTGTCACGCCGCCTGAACCGTCCCGCGCCCTACTGCATTGTGGATCAAGCCGCCCTTTGGGTCAGAATCGTGGCCGAAGTGATTTGGATCGTAAGCTCGAACTGCCTGACCGCATAGCTCGGGTTAGTTGTAGTCGAGACGCGCTGGGCGCTCGACCAGCTCGAGCTCAAGACCCGATCCAGCTCCGAAGCCATCGCCCGAGACATTCAGTTCCGCAACAGAGCGCACCGAGCGCGACCACGACAGGCGGGGGAGAAGCATGCGGGGCGTTCAACCAGCTCAGACTCAAGATCCGATTCAGTTCTGAAGTATGACGAACCGATCAAGGGGCGAATCCAAACCGAAACCGAAAAACACCGAGACGACGACAAGGCCCCGCTCGACACCTCCTCAAACAATGGAACAGCCAGCGTTTCGCGAGAGACCTCCTCAACACATCCTGCAGAGGGAGCCTTTCGCTGCAGGCGAGGTCCTCGCTCAAGACGTCCGCAGCAGGTCCTGCAGAGCCAGCGTTTCGCCCCAGGCATCCTCAACGCATGCTCCTGCTGGTGATGCGCCTGGGCTGCCTGGGCACGTGAAGCCTCGCGTTCTGCTCGAAGCACCCTGAGCAGACCCTCGCGTCAGAGATCCGCCTGGGCGACGCGGACCAAGCGCGAAGCCACATGGGTCACTTTCGAGCCAGAGCGGAACGAGCGTGGAAGCACGTGGGCCCCTTTCGCCCCCGAGCGGAATCAGCGTGAAAGCACGTGGGTCTCTTTCGCCCCAAGGTGCAGGCAGGCGTGAAAACACGTGGGTGCCCTTCGCCCCAGAGCGCAGTAAGCGTGAAAGCACGTGGGTCCCCTCCAGGAAGCCCCAGGAGGCCTCCCCAGAGCCCCAAGACGGAGCGTGCCAAGCGATTCTGCATCTAGTGCCGCTTCGTTGAGTTTGCTTCGTTTCCGTGCCCTCCCTCACGCTTGGGAGGGGGAGGCCGCGCCTGGGTGGCCAGGACGCGTGACCACACGTGGGTCTCTTTTCGACCCAGAGCGCAGCGAGCGTGAAGTCACGTGGGCCCCTTTGGCGCCATGTCGCAGCAAACGTGCAAACACGTGGGTCTCTTTCGCCCCAGAGCGCAGCGAGCGCGGCAACACGTGGGCCCCTGTCGCCCCAGAGCGGAGCAAGCGTGGACACACGAGGGTCCCTTTAGCGCCATATCGCAGTGAACGTTTTCGCCTCAGAGCGGAACAAGCGCGAGAACACGTGGGCCTTTGCGGCGCCATTTCGCAGCAAACGTGCAAACACGTGGGTCCTGTCCGCCTCAGAGCGGAACGGGCGCGGGCGTGAAAACACGTGGGCCTCTTTCGCGCCCGAGCGCAGCAAGCGTGCAAACACGTGGGTCCCTTTCGCCCCAGAGCGGCGCACGCGTGAACTTACGCGGGTGCCTTTCGCCCCAGTTTGGCGTAAGCGTGAAAACACGTGGGTCCCTTTCGCCACAGAGCGGAAAAAGTGTGAAAACACGTGGGTCTTTTTCGCCCCAGAGCGCAGCAAGCGTGACATTCCCTTTCGCCTCAGCGCGGAGCAAGCGTAAAAACACGAGGATGCCTTTCGCCCCAGAAGGCGATCAGCGTGAAAGCAAGTGGGTCCCCTCCAGGAAGCCCCAGGAGGCCTCCCCAGAGCACCAAGACGGAGCGTGCCAAGCGATTATGCATTTAGTGCCGCTTCGTTTGGGTTGTTCTGCTTTCGTGCCCTCCCTCACATTTGGGCGGGGAGACCGCTCCTGGGTGGCCAAGGCGCGTGACCACACGTGGGTCCCTTTTCGACCCAGAGCGAAGCGAGCGCGCAATCACGTGGGCCCCTTTTCCTCAGCAGCGCAGTAGACGTGAATGCAGAGCGAAAAAATCGTGAAAGCACGTGGGCCCCTTTCGCCCCAGAGCGGAGCAAGCGTGAAAACACGTGGGTCTCTTTCGCCCCAGAGCGGAGCAAGCGTGAACACACGTGGGCCCCTTTCGTCCCAAAGCGGAGCAAGCGTAAGGGAGTGTTTTCACGCTTGCTCCGCCTTGAGGCGAAAGGGAGCCACGTGTTTTCATTCTTGCTTCTGCCTTGAGGCGACTGGGGCACACGTGATGTCACGCTTGCCGCGCCCTGTGGCGAATGGGACGCACGTGTTTTCACGCTTGTTCCGCCCTGAAGCGAAAAGGACTGGGGCGAAAGGGACGGCCTCTCCACTTAACGAGCATTTCGCTCGAGAAATCCTCAACATTTCTGCGCGCAGGACGCGCCATCCTCAAGCGGACACGAAACAAGTAATCTTTTTTTGGTTGTTGTTTTGACAATTTTTGGGTGTCAAGGTCTTCGAATTTCGCTATGTTTAGAGGATTCTGCGCAAGTCGCTCCGCACCCGTTTTTTTTACGCGGGACAACGACGGTCAGGGGACTTTGACTTTGTTTTTTATCGAGGATCCGTCATAAGGGGGCACATTTTCCTCGAGCGGGCACGCGCGAAATATATTTCTTCCATGCCGAGTCGGATTTTACCTAGTTTTTCATCGAGCGGGAATCCGCCGGCCCACCCCCAACATGGCACCAGGGAAAGATCACCACCCCAAAAGTGAACCCTGGGACTATGCCCTTTCCGTGGGGACCTGTTGCTATGCCGACCTTGGTCTTCCCCCCTCCCTCTCTTATCCAACTCTCTCTCTCTTGCTCTCTCTCCTTCTCTCTCTATCTTTTGCTCCCCCCCGCCCTGGACAGGAATCGGACAGGGATCAGAGGACGCCAACGGACCACCTCGCCGATCCTGGCTAGGCCCATCCTGGGCCAGGGATCGGTGTATGCGCCGCGCTCGCCTGGCTCGGCCAGGGGGGCGACTGCACCGATCCTGGGTCCAGGATCGGCCTGGCCAGGGTCGTCGAGGTGGTCCCTTGACGTCCCCCGACCGAAGGAAAGGGCCGATAGGGGGGGTTTCTAGTCCACCGCAGGCCACGCACAATCCGATCAAGGGCGCCACCTTCATCTCAGAGAATATCGGTGCTACGAACATGTTGTTGTGCACCACGTTCGGCCGCAAGCTCGTGGACAAAGGAATGTGCTATGTGCGCAAGCTCCCCGACGAGAAGTACTTTGTGGACAACGACCGGGACCCCAGCATCGTGTACAACTTCTGGCAAACCAGCACGGGCTGCACGGACATGTGGGAGGCCCAAGAGGTCATGGAACGCAAGGGGCTGGAGGTGGAGTGGCAGAACTCCGCTGTGTTTGGCCGCTACATGGTGACCAAGTACTACGTGGACACGTTCGAGTACGACCCATTCAACGACCGCAACACTCTGTTCGCCTCTGTGGCGGACGACTACGCGTGGTTCGACTCGTGGCCGGGCGTGCAGAAGTTGCCGCACTGGGAGCGCCCGCTGAAGCTGACGTTTGGCGACGGCGAGGTCATCAACCGAGAGCAGAAGCAGCTCTGGGTCGACTGCTACGACACCCACGGGCTGCCCATCCTGTGGAGCAAGGCAGGGCGACGTCAGCCGACCACTTCACCGATCCTGGCAGGGCCGACCCCGGGCCCAGGAGGAGGAGGAGGAGGAGGAGGAGGAGGAGGAGGAGGAGGAGGAGGAGGAGGAGGAGGAGGAGGAGGAGGAGCAGGAGGAGGAGGACGAGGAGGAGCAGGAGGAGGAGGAGGAGGAGGAGGAGGAGGAGGAGGAGGGCAGGAGGAGGAGGAGGAGGAGGAGGGAGAGGGAGGAGGAGGAGGGGGCCGACCCCGGGCCCAGGATCGGCGTCTGCGCCTCCGTGGCCACGCCGGCAGGTCCTGCGCGCCGCTCCTGGGCCCAGGATCGGCCCTGGCCAGGACCTGTGGGGTTCAGGAGGGACACACACACATACACACAGACACACACAGACACACACACACACACAGAGGCACACGCAAAGACACACACAAACACACAGACACACGCAGACACACACACACAGACACACACAGACACACACACACACATACGCACACAACCAAACGCAGACACACACAGGCACACACACAGACACACACAGACACACGCAGACACACACAGAGACACACATGCAGAGACACACGCAGACACACACACAGACACGATGAATCGTCGATTCCCCAGAAAACATGGGAAACTACGGGAAGTGGGGGGGGAGACGAAAGCCCAGAAAATCTGGGAAGCTGTGGGGAATCCTGTAGCTGGTGTGTGTATCTATTTGTGTGTCCCAGGGCCCCTTCAGAGGTGGTCCCTTGACGGCCCCCTGCAAGGGCGACCTGGCCATCATCTGCAACTACCGCACTGCCCACGGCCGGCCCAGGTTCTCCGGGGGGGATAATATCTGGAGAAGGCGTGCGCGCGAGTTGAGCGCAGGCCGTCGCTGTCCTGCCTCGCCCTCCCCGCGCTGCCGTGCCTGTGCGTTGCCGGACCTCTGCGTTGCCAGCGCCGTTTGGGATGGCCCCTTCCTCTCCTCGTTCTCCTCATCCGTCCTCACCGCTCCCCCTCCTCCACCCTCTTCCCGACCTCTCCTCCCGTCCCCCTCCCTCCTCTGCCTTCCTCTCCTTCCCCTCGTGTCTCCTCTCTCTCTTCTTCTCCTCTTGCCTCCTCTCCCCACTCATCCTGATGCCTCCCCCAGCCCCCCGTCTTTCCCTCCTCCTCCCCCCCAGCCTCTTCTCCATCTTCCCCCTCGCTCCTCTCCCTCGCCCCTCCTCACCCCCCTCAGACTTCCGATGCCACGATCTGTCTTTGACGTGGGCCCCCGGTGCCCTCGACCCCCCACACGCCGTTCTAGAAGTCGGGCCTGTCCCTCTACAGGAGGAATCTTCAAACATCGCACAAAAATACCCTGGGGACGACTTCTTGACCATTTTGGACCATGTGGGCGTATTCTTGTGACCATTTTCTAGATTTTTTTTCGTCCAAGATCCGCCTGCAGGGGGACACGCCCGACCCCGTTCTGCGGTCTGCGCTTGTCAAGGGGCCGAGAGGCGGCCTCTCGAGCAGGGCGTGGCACCCCGGGCGCGCGCTGGCCAAGGCGTCGGGGCGGCTCCGGCGGCGAAGGCGCCCGCGGGGGGCGCGGGAGGGGCCAGAGACTCAGGAGGGAAGGACGCACACAGGCACGATGAATCGTCGATTCCCCAGGAAGGATGGGAAACTATGGGGAAGCGGGTGGGAAGACGAAGACCCTTCAAAAATATGGGGAACTGTGGGGAATCCGCGGGAGGCGCGGGAGGGGCCAGAACCTCAGGAGGGAAGGAAACACACAGGCACGATGAATCGTCGATTCCCCAGGAAAGATGGGAAACTATGGGGAAGCGGGTGGGAAGACGAAGACCCTTCAAACATATGGGGAACTGTGGGGAATCCGCGGGAGGCGCGGGAGGGGCCAGAACCTCAGGAGGGAAGGAAGCACACAGGCACGATGAATCGTCGATTCCCCAGGAAAGATGGGAAACTATGGGGAAGCGGGTGGGAAGACGAAGACCCTTCAAACATATGGGGAACTGTGGGGAATCCGCGGGAGGCGCGGGAGGGGCCAGAACCTCAGGAGGGAAGGAAGCACACAGGCACGATGAATCGTCGATTCCCCAGGAAAGATGGGAAACTATGGGGAAGCGGGTGGGAAGACGAAGACCCTTCAAAAATATGGGGAACTGTGGGGAATCCGCGGGAGGCGCGGGAGGGGCCAGAACCTCAGGAGGGAAGGAAGCACACAGGCACGATGAATCGTCGATTCCCCAGGAAAGATGGGAAACTATGGGGAAGCGGGTGGGAAGACGAAGACCCTTCAACAATATGGGGAACTGTGGGGAATCCGCGGGAGGCGCGGGAGGGGCCAGAACCTCAGGAGGGAAGGAAGCACACAGGCACGATGAATCGTCGATTCCCCAGGAAAGATGGGAAACTATGGGGAAGATTCCCCAGAAAGATGGGAAACTATGGTGAAGCGGGTGGAAAGACGAAGACCCTTCAAAAGATATGGGGAACTGTGGGGAATCCGCGGAGGCGCGGAGGGGCCAGAACTCAGGAGGGAAGGAAAAACACAGGCACGATGAAATCGTCGATTCCCCGTGAAAGGATGGGAAACTAGGGGAAGCGGGTGGGAAGGAACGAAGACCCTTCACCATATGGGGAACTGGGGGGAATCCGCGGGAAGCGCGGGAAGGGCAGAACCTCATGAGGGGAAGGAAAAGCAACAGCACGATGAATCGTCGATTCCCCAGGAAAGATGGGAAACTATGGGGAAGCGGGTGGGAAGACGAAGACCCTTCAAACATATGGGGAACTGTGGGGAATCCGCGGGAGGCGCGGGAGGGGCCAGAAACTCAGGAGGGATGGAAGCACACATGCACGATGAATCGTCGATTCCCCAGGAAAGATGGGAAACTATGGGGAAGCGGGTGGGAAGACGAAGACCCTTCAAAAATATGGGGAACTGTGGGGACTCCGCGGGAGGCGCGGAGGTGCCAGAACCATCAATTAGGAAAAGCACACAGGGTCACGATGAATCGTCGATTCCCCGGGAAGGATGGGGAACTATGGGGACGCGGGTGGGAAGACGAAGACCCATTCAAAAATATGGGGAACTGTGGGGAATCCGCGGGAGGCGCGGGAGGGGCCAGAAACTCAGGAGGGAAGGAGGCACACAGGCACGATGAATCGTCGATTCCCCAGGAAAGATGGGAAGCTATGGGGAAGCGGGCGGGCAGACGAAGACCCTTCAAACATATGGGGAACTGTGGGGAATCCGCGGGAGGCGCGGGAGGGGCCAGAAACTCAGGAGGGAAGGAAGCGCACAGGCACGATGAATCGTCGATTCCCCAGGAAAGATGGGAAACTATGGGGAAGCGGGTGGGCAGACGAAGACCCTTCAAAAATATGGGGAACTGTGGGGAATCCGCGGGAGGCGCGGGGGGGACAGAAACTCAGGAGGGAAGGAAGCACACATGCACGATGAATCGTCGATTCCCCAGGAAAGATGGGAAACTATGGGGAAGCGGGTGGGAAGACGAAGACCCTTCAAAAATATGGGGAACTGTGGGGAATCCGCGGGAGGCGCGGGAGGGGCCAGAAACTCAGGAGGGAAGGAAGCACACAGGCACGGTGAATCGTCGATTCCCCAGGAACGATGGGAAACTATGGGGAAGCGGGTGGGAAGACGAAGACCCTTCAACCATATGGGGAACTGTGGGGAATCCGCGGGAGGCGCGGGAGGGGCCAGAAC